CCAGATTTGAAACATCATGTGTTAAAACAAAATGCTCAGTTTGATCACCGATACCAAAAAAAAAAAAAAAAAAGGCCCCAATTTTATATAATACCGCATGTAATTTTTCTAAGTGAATAAAATTTTCCTTGTCCTCTAAAGCGATGCACTTCCCCTTACCCAGAAATGTTAGGTACCTATGGTATGCCAGGGCCATACATAAACAGACAACTCTACTTTTTCCATCAATAACCCACTCACATGTGGAGCTCAACACACTATATATACATACATACATATATACATATACATACATATATATATATGATCGTATTTTTTTTTTGGTCAGGATGTTTGCTGCCTCACTAATGAGAACCTGAGATAGCCGACACTGATAGAAAAGGCACTACTGAAATCTTTAGCTTAGTAACAAGTAGGACAGAGTGTGCTTTACCACCAATCTCAGCACTTGTATGCTATTTCTAGACCTTTCTCCTAGAGGCCTACATTTTTGGTTTATGCAGGGCCAGAGAGTTTCTGGGATTTGCCACAGAAAGAGTGACTATGACACTAATTTAAGCAAAGCATTTTGCAAATGTCCCAATCAGCTGTTCAATGAACATTTGGGCATTTGATTAGTGGCAGGCACTGCTGGAGATTAAAAAAAGACAAGAGTCTCTGCTGTCAAGAAGCACTCATTCTAGCAAGGAAAACAGACATGTGAACCAGTATTGAAAGGCCTATACAAGGTTCAGCAGTAGAGAAGATGAGGCTTAACTCTCTTGTGGAACAGGGATAAGAATGAGAAAGGGAAGCATTCACAGAGAATAAAGCACCTGTAGAAAGTAGGGAAGGAGGAGATTTTTTTTCAGACAAAGTGGAACTGTACTTCCAAGCACAACATGATAAAATTACTAGATTGCAGGGACTTAGGCACAGAGAGGGCTGCAGATGATGTCTGAGGGGTATATAGGCAGGGACCACTCATAAGAGGTTCCCCATGCTTGGCTTGGACCTTAACTGTGAAGTCACAGAAGGGTTCAGAATAGGGTAGATTTGCATTCTGGAAAGGCTTTTCTGGCCTAGACAATCAAAGAGATAAGACCAGAGAGTAGGAAACCAAAAGCATCTATTTTATCCCCTTAACCACTACATTAAAAAACAGAATAAGGGCCAGGGATTTAACTCAGTGGTGCCGCCGCCTGCCCTGCAAATGCAAGGTCCCGAGCTCGATACTCAGTACCAAAACAAAACAAAAAAACCAGAATAAAAACCAAAAAGAAGCTGAATAAAAACAACCTACCGGGCTGGGGATTTAGCTCAGTGGTTTCGCCGCCTGCTGCGCAAGTGCAAGGACCCGAATTCAATCTGAGGTACCACAAAAAAAACAAAAAAACAAAAAAAAAACAACAACCTACCAACTAAACTCCCATCCTACCCAGAGCTCAGGTTTACGCAAAACACCAAAGGATTGCTAGCCAGATCTTCAAACCCTCAACAAGCAGGAACACATTTTCTTTTTTCATTTTTCTCTGACTTCCCAACTGTAATACTAGGAAGAAATTCCCCAGAGACTTGTGTATGTTCACAAAAGGGGCTCCCATTCCCTATCTGTTCTTTCTTTTTAAAAAACAGGCAGTGTTATCTGAGAAGCAAACAAGAATCAGGCTTTTATTTATTTATACTTTGGTGATGGGACTCAAACCAGGCCTTGTGCGTGCTAAAAAAGTGCTCTACCGCTAAGCTATACCTCCAGACTGCGAACCAGGCTCTTTGAGGAGCAGCTCTTAATGTTGTGAGGCAGTACGGTGATTTGTTAGGCAAGTGCTCAAGACTGTTGAGCTCCTAAGTGCTTCAAAGTTAACCTGTTAATTGACTAGAGGCAACAAGACAGAGTGGAGAGAACATCAGTCCTCTAGAGACAGTCCTCTGATCCCGGTTCTACAACTGACTGACATTGTGATCTTGGCCATATCACTTACCCTCTTGGGACCTTACCTTAGTCATCTGTAAAATAAAGAGGGATGGACCAAGTGTTTAAGGTCTCATTCAGGTTTGACATTCTTTCAGTCTGTTTCTGATTGAAAAGGAACCTCTTGGGGAGGGATTTAGCTCAGTGGTGCCGCTGCCTGCCTCGTAAGCACAAGGTCCCGAGTTCGATCCCCAGTACCAAAAAAAGAAAAGGAACCTTTCTTTTGCATGTTTAAAGAAAGTTATAAGGCCTGAGGATAATTAGGAGCATTTCTGGGTTGAGAGGCAATTACTGTGCCCTAAGCATGTAACAGCAAGGTATTTTTAGACATGAAAAGACTAAATTTTAACAAGCTCTCATATCTGTTCAGCATATCTCTTACTTATAGAAGGGTAAAACTGGAGACAAATAACTGCAGCAACCTGATTTCAAATACTTTATTAACTGCTGCTGCTAGAAAACAATCCAAAATCTGAAGCGTCCTTATACCTGTTAACTTTTGTTAATGGTACTGGTGATCAAACCCACAGTCTTATGGATGCTAGGCAAATGATGCTGTACCACTGGGCAATGGGTACCACTGACCCAACACCTGACACATTGATTTTTATCTGGAAATGTATTCTAAGGAAACAAGAAATAATTTATTTATTTGGGGGGGGTTATTGGGGATTGAACTCAGGATGTTGTGCTTGCAAGGCAAGTGCTGTGCCACTGAGCTAAATCCCCAGCCCTCATTATTAACTCATTCTTAGAAAAGTTTAGAAAACTTCTTTCTATAGCATCAAAAACAAATAACTTGGAAGATGAAGGTCGAGAATCACAAATTGATTTACTACTATCTCAGACTAAGACAGTTAAAAATAATATTTTAAGTGTCTTTAAGCAGGGAATGAAACACTCTATGTTTTTAATACAGTCCCCGAACCCAGTGATTTCACACTTCATATTAACTGCTTAGTCCTTGATGGGATTTGTATGAGGTACCATGTAACCTTTGATTTAGGCAGGTGATGAAGACAGGAGAGAAGGAAAATTTCAAGTTACTACTATCCTTTCAGATGGTTTTAAGTGCCAAGCTAGCACAATCTCAGAAGTTTGCAAAGATTTGCTTCAGTGAGTGTATACAGGTGAAAGGCAACTATATCATATATAAACGTACCTTTATATCATTGTCTATTCCACCAGAGATAATCTGATCACTTGTGTCATTAAAGGTCACAGCTAATACCTGGTATGTGTTTTGAAACGTCTGGATAGCTGCTTTCTTCCGGATGTCCCAAAGCTGAAGAAGAAGCACAGGTAGTCAGTCTATCAGTTATCACTACACTAAGAAATAATCACACATTATACTACTGAATTCAAGGACTCTGTATAGCTCCAATAGGGACCTCATTCAGAAACTTTCCTAGATATCCTAGTAATACATGGTGAAAAATGACCACAATTTTGTCAATGTATTTGAAAGTTTATGGTCAGACTTTTGGGTTTCTCTTGCCTCAGTCTCCTGAATAGTGAACTATAGGTTTATGACACTGTGCTTTGCTCAGACTCCTTTGTTAAAGTATGAATAAATAACACGTGTACAGTCTCAGCTACTCAGGATGCTGAGGCAGGAAGAATGGATTTAGCTCAGTGGTTCTGCTGCCTAGCTCACAAGTGCAAGGTCCCAAGTTCAATATCTGGTACCCACCCCCCAAAAAACAAAAAAGAATGCTTGAGCCCAGGACTTTGAAGATACTGTATATATATATATATTTTAAAGACAGGGTCTTGCTACCTTGTTCAGGCTCTGTCTCTAACTCATGGCAATCTCCCTGTTTCAGCCTCCCAAGTGCTGGAATTACAGGTGTATGCTACCATGCCTGGCTGAGACCCTGTCTTAAAAAAACAAAAAACAGCTAGGCATGGTGGTATATACCTATAATCCCATCACTTGGGGGAGATTAAGGCAGGAGGATTATAAATTTTGAGGCCAGCATGGCAACTTAGTGAGATCCTGTCATCAAAACAAAAACCCCAACCCAAACAATAAAAAATCAATAAAGTCTGAATAAACATAGATAATCACCATTCCCTTGGAGTAGAAGTCTTCTACCTGCTTATTTCATATATTCTTAGGATTAAAAAAAAACAAACACCTAGGGCTGGGGATGTAGCTCAGTGGCGTCGTACCTGATCCCTGGTACCAAGAAAAAGAAAAAACAAACAAACTCCTAGACCATTGTTTCTCAAACTGTAGATCCTAGCTCATTAGCAGCTGTAACCTACAGTTTAAAAAAGTGGGAAAATCAGTGAAAAGTGTGACAACAGGAAATGTCAAAAGCCTGTCTCTCCACAAAGGCAATGAACTAGTAAAAAAAAAAAAAAATCAGAATCAATTTTATCAGAATTAAAGAAACTAACTGAAAGGTAAGAGCATGAAAAAAACAAAGAACACTCAAAGTCTAGTGAGAGATCTCTGTAGTGTTTCAGCCTACTCCAGCTCTGACCTCTCTCTGCTCACCAAGGGTTCTGAAGACACAGCCCACATTCTCAAGTGTAGGTTCCTTACTGAAAGGAGCAGAAGGACTTTATCCTTTATTCTTAAGGAATTACGAGGGCCGGGAGGGAATGTAGCTCAGTGGTACAATGCCTGCCTGGCAAGCGTGAGGCCCTGAGTTTGATTCCTGATACCAAGAGAGGAAAAAAAAAAGGAATTACAGCTATGGACTATTTTTTTTACCTGGTGGCTCTCTGAAGGATAAGCTCAATGGGTTTACATTCATTTTGCCTACCCTGGAATCCCTGAAAACATTTAAAGGCAAAAGCCTTTGGCTCTGCTGTCTGAGGCAAGGACTAATAGAGCAAACAGGGTAACCAAAAAGCTTGGGAGGAAAGGCTGGGGAAGAAGACAGTTTGGGGGTAGATGCTTGGAAAAGCTCTGACATATCCCTGGGAATCTAGAAAGCCACTTCTGGGCTCAGAAAAGACCTAAGAAGCCCTAAGCTCTCACCTCTGGTTGACTTTCAGTGTCTGTACAAGCTCAAAGTGAAGGATAATGTGAAATTGCAAACTGCTGGCCAAGAGCTGAAGGCAGGCAAGGTCTAACAAAGAGTCAATTACAAAGACTGGCAGAAATGTCCTTCTGTCAATCAACAGCTGACCACAAAGCTAACAGAACAAGATCTCAGAAGCAAAACAGGACAAAGAAGATAGACTTTACAAAATCAGTTCAAAAGGACACTAAATATAACTGGGTGCAGTGCAGCAACCTTGTAGTCCCAGCTACTCAGGAGGTAACCAGTCTGGGCAATACAGTGAAATTCTGTTTCAAAAAAAAAAAAGGGCGGGGATTTAGCTCAGTGGTTTCACCGCCTGCCTTGCAAGTGGAAGGTCCCGAGTTCAATCCCCGGTACCAAAAAAAAGAAAAAAAAAAAAACTGGGGATTTAGCTCAGTGGTGCCGCCACCTGCCTTGAAACACAAGATCCTGAATTTGATCTCCAGTACCAAAAAAAAAAAAAAAAAAAAAAATCACTAAACAATGACTACAAGTTGTACCAATAAACTCTTGGTAAATGTCTACTTTTCCACAAAAATTATTAAGTATGCAAATAAAATCTTTTTAACAAATGACACTGGGACAACTGAATAACCAAAACAAAAGAATGAAGCTAAGAGCCAGGTATTGTGGTGCATGCTTGTAATCTTAGCACTATGAGAGGCTGATGCAGGAAAATTTACAGATTTGAGCCCAGCCTGAGCAACTCAGTGAGACCCCATTCTCAAAATTAAAAAAAAAAAAAAAAATTGTTTTTCGTACTGGGAATCGAACTCAGGACCTTGTGGTCACCAGGCAGGTGAGGGACCACTGAGCTAAATCCCTGGCTCTCAAAATAAAAAATTAAGAAACAGTTAGGAACTTAGTGTAGCGCAAAGGCTGTGGTTCAATCTCCAGCACCTCCACCCCCTATAAGAATGAAGCTAAGGGCCAGGGATGTAGTAGCTCAGTGGCACCGCACCTGCCTGGCAAGCACAAGGTCCTGAGTTTGATCCCCAGTAACAAAAACAAAAACAAGGGCTGGGGATTTAGCTCAATGCTTTCGCTGCCTGCTGTGCAGGTGAGTTCAATCCCTGGAACCAAAAAAAAAAAAGAAAAAAACACACAAAGAAAGAACAAGCTGGGGATGGGTAATTGCCTAGCATGTCCAAGGCCCTGGGTTCAATCCCCAGTATCAATTAAAAAAAAAAATCCCTACCTTACATGATACATAAACTTAATGACAAGGCCGAAAAACTTAAATGTAAGCGCTAAAACTATAAAAACTCTTAGCCTGCTGCACAAGTGCAAGGACCTGAGTTCGATCCCCAGTACCAAAAAAAAAACACCAAACCTCTTAGAATAGGGGAGAGAAGGGATGAAGACCATAATCACTATTTGTTTATCTATCATCCATTGATGAATGTTTGGGTTGTTTCCATCTTTTGTGTATTAGAAATAATGATGCTAAAAACATGTACAAGTTTCTATGTGAATAATACATGTTTTCATTTTATTTTTTTATACTGGGGATTGAACTCAGGACCTTGCGCTTGTGAGGCAGGTGCGGTGCCACTGAGGTAACATCCCCAGGCCCCATGTTTTCTTTTTTTTTTGGTACTGGGGATCGAACTCAGGTCCTTGCACTTGCACAGCAGGCGGCGAAACCACTGAGCTAAATCCCAGGCCCTGTTTTCATTTTTTGAATACAGACCTAGGAGTGAATTGCTCAGTTAAGTGGTTACTGTTTATGTTTGAGGAGCCAGATCTTTTGCAAAGGTAAAGGGACTAAGAGATGGGGGGAACAAGGAGGGAGGGGAATGGAAATAAGAAGAATTAAGGTGTGTTAGTACATGTACCAATTCCCCATGATGAATGCAATGACAGCCCCTGGGTCTGATCCCCAGTAGCTGGAGGTGGTGGTGGTGGTGGGTAGTGGTGTGGGGGGGCTGGGGTGGGGGAGAAGCCTAGTGCAAATGTGCTGCAGTTAATTCCTAGTACCAGGTTTGGGGGGCATTAATTAATAGGTCTAATTCTGCCAGAATTAAGTCGTTTTGGGCTGGGGATTTAGCTCAGTGGCACAGCGCCTGCCTCGAAAGTGCAAGGACCTGAGTTTGATCGCCAGCACACACACACAAAAAAGTTAAGTCCTTTGAAGCAGGATGTACTCAGCCAGACATGGTAACTTATGACTGTAATCCTAGCACTTGGGAAACTGAGACAGGACTGTCAGGAGTTTAAGGGCAGCCTGGGCTACAAAGAAAATTAAGGGAAGCCTGTACTACATAGTGAGACCCTGTCTCACCCCTCCCTCCCCTAAAGCAGAATGTACTTTGTTTACAGATGTGACTAATGCTTAATCCTTTAAATTTTGGAGTGATACTGCCTGGAATATAGTATTTTTCTCTCTCTTTTTTTTAAAATTTAAGGCATCATCTATAGCTGGTGAAGTTTTATACTGCACTGGGCTATCAACTGAAACTGTTGGGAGGTTATGGTACTGAAAGGGGACTGTAGTATTAAGTAAACCTAATTATCACAATTAAAAATAAAGCAGGACTGGGGGTATAGCTCAGTGGTAGAACATTTGCCTAGCTCTAGATTCAATCTCCAGTACTGCCACCCCACTCCCACCTCCAGCAAATTTCTCAGGTGTATGCCTTTGAGGTCCACTTACATAGTCATTAAAATACAGTCTAAGAATTCAAAATTGGTGCCAAAGTAAAGATATAATGGTCGATACTATGAAGCAATGTGTCCTTGTGCATCTTTGAGATAAGATACTTTCAGGCCCCATTTTCTTCATTAGTGAAATGAGGAGACTAGATGAGATTAGTTGACTCCTAAAAGGTCAGACCTGAAACTAAAAATTCTGATTCCCATTCCATATCTACTGAATCTGAATAGTTTTAATAGGTTCTTCAGGTGATTCTAATAAACAGACAGCTATTGGACTAAATGACATTTAAGGTCCTCTCTTGAGCTACAGAAACCATTTACTTAGCTTTTTATATATCTGTAATTTTACCGTACTGTCCCTGTAAGACATTTACATTACTGTCACTGGTCTAAAGAGCGGGAAACAGGTCAGATGTGGTGGTGCAGCTTGTAATTACAGCACTTGGGAGGCTGAAGCAGGAAGATCACAAGTCAGAAGCCACTCTGGGCTACACAGTGAATTCAGAGGCCACCCTGGACTATGTATCAAAACCTGTCTCAAAAAAACAAAGCAAGCAAACAAACAAAACAAAAAAGGAAACTGAGGCTCAGAAATGTGAACTGCTCAAGACCACATACAATTGACAGCTAAACCAGGTATGGTGGTACATGCTTGTAATTTCAGCACCCTAGAAGGCTGAAGCAGAAAGATTAAATTCAATCCCAGCCTGGGCAACTTGGGGAGATTTTGTCTCAAAATAAAAGATAAAAGTCCCTCGCTTCAATTGCCCAGAACCACCAAACCAAACCAAACAACAAACCAACAAAAACAATAAATCAAATCAAAACCAAAACCAATTAAACCCATACGATCCATTTTACTCGAGTCATTTATTCTTGTGGCAATCCTCCTGCCTCTGCCTCCTGAGTGCTAAGAAAACAGGCATGTGCCATTATGCCCAGCCAATTCTATGGTTTTAACATTATTCTGTATGGTAATTAAAATAGTGCCTATTATTATTATTTTTTTTTTTGGTACTGGGGCTCAAACTCGGGTCCTTCCACTTGCGAGGCAGGTGGTGGAACCACTGAGCTAAATCCCCAGGCCTTTGCCTATTATTTTATTTATTTATTTTTTGGTACCGGGGATTGAACTCGGGTCCTTGCGCTTGCGAGGCAGGCAGTGGAACCACTGAGCTAAATCTCTGGCTGCCTATTATTTTAAAAGGGGAAAATTTCAAGTGTCTGTTTTGGGAACTGAATGCTAAAACTAAATTGTGCAGAGGAGGGAGGGTACAGCACAGATGAGAAGGTTCACATTATGTCACGTCAAACTGCAACACAGACTGGTAATACATACCTTAACTGTACCATCATCGCTGCCAGTGCAGACAAGCTGGGGTCCCCTCCTGGCTGGGTAACAGGAATTTACAAAGGAAGTATGTCCCTTCAGCCTTTTAACCCTTTCGCCTGTTTCACTATCCCATACTGCCACAGTTTTATCTGTGGATGCGGAGAAGAGCATACTAGAAAGTAAAAGGGAAAACACAGAAGAAATTAGTGAAGACAGTAACAATCTATCTTTCCCACTTGTCAAAATCTGCCAAATTCTTCCAGACTACTGACCAGTTGTGCTTGTCAGTAGGGAACACAATGCTAGAATGCCTTATCCTACACATAGAAATCCTACTCATCCTTGTCTAGACCCAATTTTAACGATGATCCTCTGATGTTTTCAAAAATGTCCTTGTGAGTCCTCATGACACACCCCATACCTAATACGACAGTTTTCTCAAATCTTTTCCTCATCTGTGACAGATAACATTTTACACATAAGATATTCCCATAGGGCTAGGGATTTAGCTCGGTGGTTCTGCTGCCTGTCTCCCAAGCATAAGGTCCCGAGTTCAATCCCTGGTACCAAAAAAAAAAAAAGAAAGAAAAAAAAAAGATATTCCCTGACTTGGAAATTTTTAATCACTCCCTGCTGCCACAGAGGTAAGAGAGACTGCAATAATTCTGGATCCAACACTTGAGTCAATCAATCCTCACTCTACAAATCAAAATTTTTATTTTTTCTGAGGATAAGTTCTATTTAATTTTATGATGCTTTAAAAATAATTAGGCAAGGGTATTAGGGAGAGGTATAAAATCAGAGGTGGGTATAATGCTTTCTTTACTTAAAAAGTATATAATGCTATGTATCAATTGATGAAGCACCCTAAGACTTTAGACGTCAGGAATGTAAAAACAATCAGCCAGGCATGGTAATGCACACCTGAAATGCCAGCACTAGAGGCTGAGGCTTGTGTTCAAGGCTAGTGTGGGTCAATAGTGAGCAATGAGACCCTAACACCTCCCCACAAAGCAAGCAATGTTCACCAAGATATTTAAAAATGTGACTAATTTACTTCATATAGACAAATTTCTGTATTATCTACAGATATTCTAAAACTTCGATGGAATGTCTATGTTTGTAACAAAGATGTTAGATGAACAAGGTTAAAGGGAATAAGTCACCAGACAAGATTGTACAGTCTTAACAAATACACCAAAACTAAACAGTCTGGAGAGCTGGGTGTTGTGGTACACATCTATAATCCTAGCACGTGGAAGGGAGGCTAAGGCAGAGGATCACTGAGAGTTTGCAGCCAGTATGGACTACACAGTGAATTCAAGACCAGCCTGACAACACGGAGAGACCCTGTCTCAAAAAACCCAAAAAGAATCAGCCTGGACTGCACAGCAAGACTGTATTTCAAAAAAACAACCCACCCATCCATCCTGGGGCTTTAGCACTGAGCTACATCCCTAGCCATTTTTATTCTGAGACATGCTTTTGCTCAATCACTAACCTAGGCTTGGGCTCCAAACTGCCATTCTCCTGCCTCAGCTTCTCAGAGTGCCGGGACTATAGCCATGTGCCCCTATACCTGGCTCATTACTCTGCTTTTTTTGGTTTCTCAAAATAGTATTTTATTACTTTCATAATAAAAACAGCTAATTTCTACATATAAAAATTACAGGGGCCAGGGATTTAGCTCAGTGGTGCCATGCCTGCCTTGGAAGCATAAGGTCCTGAGTTTGATCCCTGGTACTGAAAAAAAAAAATTACATTTTGCTTCATGTCTTACAGAAAAACCAAATTTATCCAGAATACCAATGTTAGATAACAGTGTGTATTTATAACTGCTTACACACATTTCACTTGGGGTTATAGTAAGAATGAGAATAAAGCAGCTACACAAAATGTAGCAGTTTGTGACAGGAAGAATCTCCTGACAGAAGTAGCTCAAGGAGGAAAGGTGAAAGGATACCGAGAAAAATTAACTGAGAAGGTGTTGTCATTCCACTATGCAGAACACTCACCTGCCATCTGTGTTATAATGGAGCTCCATCACTGCTCCACTATGTCCTTTCAGTGTGGCATAATTATCACAGTCACCATAGACATTCCACAGCACTGTTAGGGAGAGAGGACTTCTGTAAGTACTACAGCCTGTGCATACCAGCTGTGCAGAGGTTATTTGTGAATTTACTTGTACAGTTCTAAAATTAAACTTATTGGATACCACTGGTTCTACTAAGCAGACCAACTTTCCTGACACTAAGATAAAAATAGGGCCAATATTTTTACGATTCAAAAGGTTAGAAAACATAAATTTTGAAAATTTAAACTTTTCTTATAATTTTAAGAAGCTGGCACCTCCCCTTGTCTCCACCTCTACCTATTTGTCTTCTGAGTCTGGAAGCAGGTACAAAATAATGGACTTACAGAAAACCTAGGAAGCCACAACTTCAAGGTCATGCAGCAATGACTGTATAAGGTCTGATCAAGAGAATACAGTCAATGTTTTAAAAGATTCGTTGCCATTAATCTCCCTTGGAATACTCCCCCGTGCATTGAACCCACTTATTCCATTGTTGTGATTTTTCTGAAGCTGTTCTGAAAGTCCTCTTCTGTGTCTTTAGTTGCATTATTGTGGCTGCCTTGATGTCCTGAATTGATTCAAAATGTTTAACTTTAACTGTCATTTCAACTTTCACAAAGAGCCAGAAGTTGCAAAGTGTCAGATATGGTAAATAAGGTGAATGAGGACACGTTTTTATGAGCCTGCCTTTCTGCTGCATGGCACAAGATAGCAGCATTCACTGTATTTTTCATTACAACTCAAAGACACTCACAAAAAAAGACTTCCAGAACTGCTTCAGAAAGTGGCAAGAACAATGGGATAAATGTGTTCTAGGCAAGGGGAAATATTTTGAGAGATAATTAATGGCAAATGTGTTTATTTACTTATTCATTCATTTTTTGGTACCGTGGATTGAATTCAGGACCTTGTGCTTCCCAGGCAGGCATGGCAGCACAGAGTTACATCTCTGGTCCACGAATATGTCTTTTACTCTCATAGATTTTAAAAATTTAAATATTCACTGTATATTTTGACCTCATGTACTACATTTATACATTCCACATATACTAAGTAAGTACCTATCACATGCCTAGTGCTGGAGTAAATGAACATAGTTGTTATCCCAACACAATGTAGTTTAGCAAGGATTAAAGTTTGATGAATGTTATTAAAGATCACCGGCATATGTAAGAGATATATTTATATATGCCTTTTTTTCTGCTAACAAAATTTGCTTCTAACTTTATGAAATTAAATATATCAATAATTCATGTGTGTCCTGCAAAGATCACTAAGCCTTCCAGATGCTTGGCTGCTGGAAATTACAGGGATTATAGGATTAGAACATCCAAATAGAAATGAGCAGTGAAGATTAGAATGGATCCATTCTGAGGTACTGTTATGGGTTGGGTCTAGATGTTCCCCTGAAGCCTCACCCAGTCACAGGTGGGGCTTTTCAGCAGTGGCTGGATCTAGAATATGTGATGCTGGGATCAAGGGTGCCTGATTACTAAATTAGTGAATGGTTTGGTATAGTTCTGGATGTGAATAATGGGAAGGCCCACCCTAGGTGTGAGTGCTACCAGCCCTAAGGGCATGTAGCCTGGATAGAATACAAGAGACAGAAAGAGGGCTGCTGCATCTACTTTGCTACTTCACTGCTTTGCTGTCCTCTGCCCACCATGAACTGTTTCTCCTCTGTGATGCCCCTCTGTCATGCCACCCTGCCTTGGAGCCAGCCAACTATGAACTGAAACCTCTACAAACTGTGAGCTAAATAAACCTTTCCTTTAACTTTGAGTGTTTGGTATTTTGTCTCAGCAAGGAGAAAAATAACTAAGACAGGTAAAAAGTTAACGGATAAAAAGCCAAAGAACTCATTTGATTTCATAATGAGGTAAACGAAGTCAGAAATCAAATAAAAGAGAGCTTTGTTATTTTATTTGCTTTTTCTCATGACTCCCTCAAATGGACTTTTTCTGCCTTCTTAAAGTGTTGGGGAGCTCAGTGGTTTTGCCGCCTGCTGCACAAGTGCAAGGACCTGAGTTCGATCCCTGAAATTGCATCAGGAGAGAACGGTATTATCAACCCGTAAAAATGCCTTTAAGAAGATAACAGAGAAGCTAACCAGAGAACATGAGACACTGAAAACACAATTACAAGAAAATGAGATGCATTCTCAGCTTACAAATTGGGAGAGAAAGTGGCAACACCATGAGCAAAATAATTTTGTGATGAAAGAATTCATAGCAACCAAGAGTCAGGAAAGTGATTACCAGCAAATCATTAAAAATGTGACCAAGCAGATTTCGGAGTACAACAGAACCATCGTGGATGCTCTACATAATACTAGCAGGAACAGAGTCTGAATCAACCGATAGTTTCTATAGAAGTTATCTTCTTTTTTTTTGGTACCAGGGATTGAACTTGGGTCCTTGCGCTGCAGCGAAACCACTGAGCTAAATCCCCAGCCCAGAAGTTATCTTCTTGATGCTAAACTTTGTACAAGATGACTGAAAAATTACAACATTTTGCCTTTTAAGAGTTATATCTAAAATTTCTAAATGCTGTAATTTTTGTGGCCTCTTTAAAGAGTGGTGTTTTAAATAGTTTAATAGTTCAGTAAGGAATTCTCATTAATAAATAAATAAATAAATAAATACAGCGTTGGGGATCAAATCCTTTGTTAGGTAAACACTACCCTACACCCTGGACCCATTTGTCTACTTGTTTTTCAAGAGTACTCCTGAGTTATAGCTAAGAATCTGTTAGCAAATTATAATAATGTAAATGTAGATTATCAAAGTAAGTTGCCACTTTGGAAATTTCTTCTTCCTTCTCACATACTAGAATTCTGGGTATGGCTCAAGAGGAGGGCCCTGTGGCTTTGGGAATAAAGTGTTTCTTTGTTCATAACTCCCATTAACCTGTGAAATCTGGATTGTTTATCTTGTTAAGCTGGCTCTAGACTTCTCTCCACGAGGAATATATCCTCAAACCAGAGCAACTCACTTTCTTTCCTTTTGTATTTACCACATGGACCCAGGGTGTTGCTGCTGTAATTTTTGGGTTTTTTTGAGACAGGGTCTTGCTCTGTAGTTCAGGATGGCCTCAAACTCGTGGTGATCCTCCTGCTTCAGCCTCTGGAGTGCGGGGATTATAGGCGTGCACTACCACATCTGACTGGACCCCAAGTTTAACACCTTAGTGATGATTCAGCATTTTTATGCCCTGTTTTAGCATGTTAAGTCATGTAGTTTATGTTGCCAATTTGTAGTTTATGCTGCCATTTGTAGTATCCAAGATTTTAAAAACCTAATCAGTATTTGGCAGAGCCAATTACTGTGGATTTAAAAACTATGTCTTGGGCTAAGGATTTAGCTCAGTGGCACTGCGCCTGCCTCAAAAGTTGCAAGTTCCTGAGTTTGATCCCCGCTACCAAAAAACAAAAAAAAACCAAACTATGTCTAGCTGGGCAACTGCAACCAAAGGCTGAAGCAGGAGGACTGCCAAGTTCAAGTTCAGCCTGGGGAACTTGGTGAAACCATTTCAAAATTAAAACAAAAGGGCTGGGGATGTAGCTCAGTAGCACAGCACTCCTGTGTTCCTTCTCCAGTACTGAAAAAAACAAAACAAACAATATAACTATGTCTTACGTATCAATCGGTCAAATCCTGCAGATGCCAAGGTGGAGCCATTGGGGTGAAACTTGCAGCAGTACACTTCTCCTTCATGTCCTGAGAGTAGCATGATTGGGGCTTGAAGGGAGGAACACCTTGGAGGTCCCTAGACAAAAGAGAAGTATGAGGTAGACACTGTACAAAGAAGGCTGTGAAACAAGGTTGAGGAATGGAGGAAAAAGATCAGGTAAACAATGCTTCAGGGGATTTCACCTGATTTTAGAGAATGGCAACTCTGCTCACATATCTCTTATCTCCCTCCTAACATTCCAGTATCCACCTGTTATACTGACTCCTCTTCTCTCACTTGGGTCTGGTCCCAGAGCCAACTTGCTGAAACATGTTAAAAGTCATTTTGACTCAGGATCTTCACCCATGAAGTTGTCCGTGATGAGAATTCCTTCTCCTAGATTTGGCTTTCAAGTATTTCTTTAGAAAGTCTTTCCTTGATCATGCAAACTCAAGAAACATGCCACACACTCCACCTATATTGTTCGATTCAGAGTCCAGAGTGTTCACCATTACACCATGGAACCCATCCCCCTACCTGTATTAACTCCATTATTATTCCTTCACAGCACTGAGCACTACATGAAATTACCTTCCTCATGTAATTGTTTATATATCTTGTCTTTTCCCAAAGAAATGAAGCTCTGTAAATGCAGGGACTTTATATGTGTCATTCAACACTGTTTGCCCAGTCTCTGGTTCATTTAATGAATTATTGAACTGGGCTTCCTGACAACCCTACAGGATTCAGATTATTAAACAAAGTAATTTTAATTATGGTCTTGGACACTAAGCCTAGGCTTGGCAATTCACTTAAACTTGGGCTGATATTCTTACTTGTCAAATAGAAGAACGGATACACTACAGAAGAATCCTCAATCTCTTTAATAGCTTCCAGCATATTTATTCATTCAAAAAATGTGTCAGGCAGTGTTCTAGGCACCAAGGAAAACAATACTGAACAAAATAATGAAGCTTGAATTCTAGAGGGAAGGAGGGGGAGAAAGAAGAGGAAGAGGGAGGAAAAAAGGTGGGGAAGAGAGAGAGGGAGACAGGGAAGGAGGGAGGGAGGGCGAGGGGGTGAGGGAGCGAGGGAGCGAGGGAGAGGGGGAGAGAGGGAGAGGGAGACAGAAAGAGAGAGAGAGAGAAAGAGAGAGAGAAGGAGAAAAGTAAAACATGACATGGATGGTGGTATGTGCCATGGAGAAAAATAGATTAGGAATGTGAGTTCCAGAATACGGGGTGTTACAATTTAAAAGAGGGTGGTAGGAAAATACCTCACACTAAGAAATATCTGAACAAGGACTTGAAGGAATTGAGTATGTAAATCATGTAGACATTTGAACATTCCAGGAGAGGGAACAGCAAATGCAAAGGCCTTGAGGCAGGAGAGTGTAAGTCAGTGTGACTAGAGCACAGTAAGCAACAGAAAACTGGCAGATCAGACATGTAAACGCAGGAAATGATTTGCTGTGCCTGCCTGGCAAGTGCAAGGTCCTGAGTTTGATCCCCTGTACGGAGAAAAAAGAGGAAATGATTGTAAAAGTTCTTATTTTTATTCTGAATTAAATGGAAAACCACTGGTAAGTTTGTTGCAGAGAATGTGATTTGATGTTTAGAAAGATTCCTGAGTGCTAGTTTGATAATAGATTGTTGATAGGACAGAAACAGGAATCCAAATTAGGCCCCCTGGCAATATCAAATTATTGGCATTAATGCAAACATCTTTATTTGGGAACAGAAATGTTTTCTCTCTTTATAACTCTCATTAGCCTTTCAAACTTAGATGGCTTGTCTCAGACTAGACTGCTTGATGGGAAAATGACTTAGACCAGGAGGAGGTACTGATGGAGTTGGTAGAAATTCTGGTTACTCTCTAGATTTCTTTTTTAAGAGTTTCATTATGGGGCCGGGGATTTAGCTCAGTGGCATTGCACCTGCCTCACAAGTGCAAGGTCCTGAGTTCGATCCCTGGTACCACAAAACAACAACAACAACAACTTCTCACTATGTTATCCAGGCTGGCACTGAACTTTTGGGCTCAAGCAATCCTCTTGCTTCAGCCTCTTGAGTACTGTGCCATGACACCTGGCTCATCTATATGTTCTGAGGATGATGCCAGCTGGATTTGCTGACAGGCTAGTTGAGAAGCTGAGAGGCCACTTATGTATTTCCTCATCTGAGCCCAACAGCATAGAAGAGGTGTAACCACTTTCTATTTTACAACAAATGTAGTTAGGGTTACAGATTTATTAAAAATCTATCATATAATAGGCAAGAATTTGTTTTCCCACCTGCAAAATGAGAAAATAATAGTTACTAAATCTTACAAGATCTATGACACAAAACAGTACATGAGTCAATGAAGTTAATATTCAGTTGCTGCTAATGACACAAATGCAGAAAAATAAAGAGAAAAGCAACTTGCCCAAAGTCCCAAAGCGAGCTCATCTCACTTCTTCCTTCCCTTGCTGATTCATTCATCCACTCTAGAAACTTGTATGTTTACGTTACGCTGGATCCGTGGAAGATTTAGGATGCGGAAGCCAGGGTCTTTGTTTTTTGAGCCCAAGGTTTTAAACTAATTTTAACGTTACCTCACAGAGCAGTTAAAAGGCTGAAAACGGACATTCAACAGGGAAGCAGAGATGGAGCACTGCAGGATTTTGGGAGCTTTCATAGCGTTTGTGCGCTTCAACATCAGGTACGTTCTTGTTTCGCCAGCGCAGTGTGGGATCAACCAAAACAGCGCTCTGAGGCAAGGAGATGAGCTAAGGGCCCAAGGCCGCCTGCCTTTTCACTTACCGCTTGAAGTAAAGCTCCCGGGGTCGCCTGCTGCTGCCCTGCTCCGGGGCCTGACCCCGCCGCTGCCAGGAGCAACTCATGTCGCTGCCGCTTGACTGGAACCAGTGGCAACTCCGGGGCCTTGCGCTTCTGCTGTTCTATCATGGCGGCAAACGCTCTCCTCAGCGCCACCACGGACCGCGCCGACCGCCCCAGGCGCCTCGGATTGGCTGCGACTTACTTCTTCCTCAAGAACTTCCGCCTTGGAGAATCCAATTGACTGCCAAAGTTCCCCTCTGCCCCGCCCTCCCACGGTCTCCTGTGATTGGTTCTATCGTTCTGACGTCACGAGAACGCGACTGCAAGATTGGCGAGCGAACCTGGCGTCCCTCCTAGGCGCTCTGTGTCTTGTGGGCGGGAGCGCGCTGAGTGGATTTGGCCTTTCTGGCAATGCGGCGCCTCCGGGAGTCGGAGCCGACGCCTAGTAAGTAGCAGGGAGAGCTAGGGAGAGCGGGGGTGGGAGGCTGCTAGTAGGAGGCGATCTCAAGGTTGTGCGGCCTGAGCTCAGTTCCCAGCTGGGTCAGTCCCTTTGCGTGCAGGAACAGAGCTGAGGTCTGGCCCTTGACGGCTGCCCTTTTCTACAGGCGCCTTCTGTGTCCACCTTGTTCCCGGGTTTCCCTGACAGGCCTGTCTCCCAACCTCCTTCAGTGCCCCGTTTAGCTGAGGAGGCCGGCTTATTTTTGCTTCTGATTGTGTAGTCTTTTAAAGGGCCTAATCTATGTCCCTGAGGGGAACAATGATGCAGGAAATGCCCAACTCCTTCAGTCTCGTTGAAAAATTTGAGACTTACATATGAACGAGGCCTCCTCAGTCGTTCAACTGATGTTTCCTGTGCAGAGTGTTAGCGGATACATTATGAACCAAACGTAGACCCTAATCTTAAGGGATTGGAGTCTGTTGGGAGGGTAGATATTAACCCGGAATCTCACTAATAACTGGAACTGCTACCCAGGAGAGGTACTTGATGCTATGAGTGCCTGAAATAAGCAGGAATTCTTTTCTGAGGAAAAAACGCCCGAGCTGATATCTGACGGAATAATTCAAAAGAAATGAAGAGAGAAGGCAGAGCATTCCATACAGAATAGCATGTGCAGAGGTTCCATATCAGTGGGGAGGAAAACGACGTAAAAGGCACAAAGGGCCAGTTGTGGATGATATAAAGAGAATGGGGAGGGTATAGTAAGGATGAAGCTGGAGGTTTTAGAGGTTAGACCTTGCAGGAATTTGTAGCTTTTACTTTAAAACTGTTGGGAACCCCTAAAGGTTTTCCTTTCCTTGCAGAGTGGGATGTGGAGGAGGTAGCTTGATCCCTCAAGTTTAATATGTGATGAGGGGAGCTGTTAAGGCTTGTGTCTAGATGTCCCCCTCAAAGCCTCACGCAGTCATAGGTGGGGCTTTTTCAGAGGTGGCTGGATCTAGAGTGTGTGCCACTGGAATTGATTCATGATGCAATGCTTGGCTCAAGGGCACTAGGATTAAGGGTGTGAGTGCTACCCGCCCTAAGTATCCTGGACAAGACAAAAGGGACAAGAAGATGCCTTTAAGGTCCCTTGTTGCTTTGCTACCTTCTGCCCACTGTGAACTTTTTTTTTTGGTACTGGGGATCGAACTCTAGTCCTTGTGCTTGCAATGCAGGCAGCAGAACCACTGAGCTAAATCCCTGGCCCCCACTGTTAACTTTTTGTCCTCTGTGAAGCCACCCTGCCTTAGAGCCAGCTGATTATGGGCTGAAACCTCTACAAACTGTGAGCTAAATAAACCTTTTCCCCTTTAATTTTGGGTGTCGGGTATTTCGTCTCAGCAGTGAGAAAAGTAACCAAGATAGGAGCCTTGGTGAATGTGGATGGATCACTTAGGAGGATATGCAGTAATCCTGGTCATAGATGGCAGCAAGGACTGAGTGGTAGAGCACAGAGAATTAGATTTTAGAAACATGTAGGAGGTAAGATGGGTAGGAATTAGTGATGGATTGGATTCAGGAAGTGAAGAGTGGAATCAAAGGTAGCTCATAGATTTTTGGCTTATGTAGTTGAATAGAGAACATTAGAAGATGACTGGAAACTAATTTTTGTTCTTTGTAATTGTGTGTATGATTGATGACATCAGGAAGCTGTTTCAAATACACTGCTGGTGCTCAGAAGAGAGATTAGTGTTGGAAATATAATTTGGGAGCTAATTTGCATATATGTGATAATTTAGTCATAGGTATGAATAAGGCCAGCTAAATTAAACAAGTTGGCCTCAGCTGAACAGGGCACTGAAGGAGACCAGGCACATGTAGTAGTCCAGAAGTTTGAGATCAGCCTGGGCAACATAGTAAGATTCTTATCTCAAACACATTTGGCACACATTTATAGTTACAGCACTTAGAAGTCTGAGGCAAAAGGATTGCCAAGAATTCAAGGCCAGCCTGAACTACATAATGAGACCCTGTCAGAAAAACCAAAATCTGGCCAGGGATTTAGCTCAGTGGTGCCACCGCCTGCCTCGAAAGAGAAATATCTGGAGCTCTATCCCCAGTACCAAAAAAAAAAAAATCCAGCCAACAATACCAGTAGTCTAATGGCCTTGGGTAAGTGACACGTGGAAAAGAAATCAAGGTTTCCAAAACTCTCCAGTAGTAGAATGACAAAAGAGATTTGGAAAAAAGTACATGGTGTTTAATCCAGTGCAATTATTTTGTAGAGAATAGCTATGGACTATTTTCACATTCATTTCTTCTTTAATTCAGGTGTCTAATTGTTGCTTACGTCTTTGTAACAGGACACCAGAATTAGCTTTAGCAGAAGAGAAATGGAGGAGCCATAGAACGTAAGGATGAATTCAGGAAGGCCTGAGACCATGGAAAACTTGCCTGATCTCTACACTATTTTCCAAGGAGAGGTATATTCTTTTGCACTTTGAAAACTTCCCATTTACAATGTGTTAAGAATAGACTAAGGGGGCTGGGGATTTAGCTCAGTGGCACTGCACCTGCCTCATAAGCACAAGGTTCTGAGTTTGATCCCTGGTACCACCAAAAAAAGAATAGACTAAAGGTGGCTGGGGTTTTATGTCAGTGGTGCTGCTGCCTGCCTTGTAAGCGCAAGTTGGATCCAAGTTCGATCCCTGGTACAAAAAAAGAATAGACTAAGAATGAAAAGCAGCAGAGTTTGATGTTCCACTTGAGACCCTTGAACATTACCCCTTAAGTGGGAAGGGCTAGTGGAACATCTGGCTACTGCATGTACTTCCTCTAAGATAAGATTATGGTCGAGTTAACAAGGAAAGGGAAACATAGTAAGAAAATGTGTGTGTGTGTGTGTGTGTGTGTATGTCCAGGTATGAGTATATATTTTATATACCAAGTGAGTTTGCTGTTATGTAGCCCCCTCACTCTTTTGTCTCCTCTGTATTTTACTACATGGTGGGGAGGAACAACTAACTTGAGCTGAGGTGCTGACAGAGCCCTGCTGATTATCTTCTCCTCTCAATTGCTCTCTCTAGCAAGGGTTTAACTCTTTCTAGTCAGGATTTGTCAGAAAGCTTACTGAGGTCTTCATCCTTTTATTTCTCTTTCTGTCTGTTTGTCCCCTTTCCCTACAAATACAAACAAACTGATTTTTGTGCCTCTTCTATTACTTTTCTTGAATCCTGATTGCTTTTTCTTCAGAATCTTTGCAAATGCTGTTTGCTTTAGTCCATTTGTGCTACTGCAACAAAATACCTGGGATTAGGTAATTTATAAGGAACAAAAATTTTATTTTTCACAGTTCTGAAGGCTTGGAAGTCCAAGATCAAGATGCTAACAAATTTGATGTCTGGTGAGGGCTGCTCTCTGCCTCCACCATGCTGCCTTGTTGCTAGGTCCTCCAGAGGTGACAAATGCTGTGTCCTTAAATGGCAGAATGTGGCAGAAGGGGCAAACTTACCTCCTCAAGCTCTTTTATAAGGCACTATTCAATTCACTAGGCCTAATCACCTCCAAAAGGCCCTACTTCTTATATTTATTGCATTGGGAATTAAATTTCAAATGTTAATTTTGAGTAATACAGCCACTCAAACCACTTTGAGAATGAGATTGATGGCATTACAAAAATAGGTTTCAGAGTGTTGCCTGAGCCTTCTGTCCCTTTCACTTTGTGAGGAGAAAATGGCATTTGTCTGCTCTGAAGAATACAGCAACAAGGTGCCATCTTGGAAGCAGAGAACAAGCCGTTATCAGACACTAAATCTGCTGGTGCCTTGATCTTGAACTTCCCAGCCTCTAGAAACATGAAAAATAAATTTCTATTATAAATCATTCAACCTATGGTATTTTGTTATAGAAGCAGAAAGAGACTAACTCTGTTCCTTCTAACTACCCACTTTCCCACCAACTTCTCTCTTTTAGGTCTCAGCTGTAATGTCTCTTCAGAGATCTTTTACTTATCATGGGTAAATAATTCAACCTGTATTTAGCTGTGTACTCATTTAATGTCTGTCTTCCCCATTAAAATTGAAAAAATAAATTGAGGGCCAGGGATTTAGCTCAGTGGTTTCACCACCTGCTGTGCAAGTGCAAGGACCTGAGTTTGATCCCCGGTACCAAAAAAAAAAAAAAAAAAGAAAAAATAAATTGGAAACTGTTGTATGTTAGCTCATCTCTGTTATTGAATCTTTCCAAAAAGTTAACTCTTTTAATGGATAAAGAAACTTCTCAGAAGTTAAGTAAACTCCCAGTGAATAATAAATAGCAAAGCTGGGATTATAAATCTTTCCAGGTCTACTTTGTACTAAACTATAGCTGTGATAGCCCAACTTTACATGAAAGTGTGGTGCAACCAAAAGACATATAAAAGAATTATTTTCACAGAATTGAGGAGTAGAAAGAAAGTGATGGTAAGTCTGGTTGTTCCAATCATAATTATAGCATTTATTACAGTCGTTTTTTCCCTTTATGGTACTATTGCTTGAAGCCAGAAGCTTGCTCATACTCAGGAATTGCTTTACCATTGGCTTTTTAAAAATTTTACTTTGAGACAGGATCTTGCTAAGGTACCCAGGCTGGCCTTGAACTTTCAGTCTATCTGCCTCAGCCTCTCAAATGGCTGGGATTACAGGTATGTTATCACTGTTCCCAGTTTATCACAATCTATCACGTAATTTTTTTGTTTTGTTTCTAGTACTGGCAGGCAAAGCCAAGGCCTTTGTATTGAG